TGATTACACGTACTATGATTGGTTCAGAGAATGTCGTCTATCTGTACCGTGACCGTGACGTTACCGTGTCTGAACATTTTAATTGGATGAACAGTAATTACACATACTATGATTGGTTCAGAGAATGTCGTCTATCTGTACCGTGACGTTACTGTGTCTGAAAATTCTGAATTGGATGAACAGTAATCTCACGCACTGTGATTGGTTCAAAGGTGGCCTTCTGTATAGACCGTGACCGTGACGGTACAGTGTCTGAACATCCCGATTGGATGAACAGTATTCTTACACCGACAATCAGTACCTTGACGGTGCTGTGTCGCGTGCCGTTACACAGTCATGCGATCGGTTCTAATGGTTAAAATGCGCGCCGTATACCGCCATTAAGATTGATTTGAATAAAAACGTTTTAAGCAAAAAAAATCTGCCTCACCTTATTGATAGTTGGTCTCCTTTATTCATCCATTCCAATGCTTCGGATCATCATATGATTCACTACCATGCATAGATAACGCTTGGGATACATAGACTACCAAGAAATGCCACCCTACCAACGATGCTTCCCCTCTACCTCTCCTTACCGCATTTGATCAATAATGATTATCCAGCTGATCTGAAATAGTGACTTAGAAATGAAGTCGACGTCACTACAAAACTCAGTTGTCATAAAGACTGCGAAAGGGGACCAACAAAAACACACATGCCCGTCATTGAAATAAAAATTTAAAACGTATTAATTATCGTGGTACTGTTATCAAGCGCTTATTAGCAGCGTTTTTTATAAATTCTTTGGCCGCCTGCGATCCATAATATCCAGAAGATAAGACACCTCAGTTTTGCAAAGTTCTCGATTCTGATTGGCTAACATTTTCTCTCAGATTAAGTATCGTATTTCTTACTCAAACGGTTTTAGTAAGTTGGCCTTTGAAAAATGGCAAAATGAAGTTCAATGGCGATTATATCTTTAATTGCTTTTCATTTTTCTTTCTTTTATTAATCTTTTTTTGACAATGAAAAAGTCGGGTGCTCAAAGTGCATGTTTGCACTAAATATACTTATTTCAATAAAGTTAGCCACCAAAAACCTAGAAAGCTGAGATCACTGAGCATCATGGGAAACTTTTCATATCAAAAAAGCATATATATACAAAGCTTTTTTAATACAAACTGCAGCTCGATGATGCTCAGAAAGGTGAGACTGTAACCGGTAAAAGATTCGCAAGTCCATGAACAGTTATCAAGCGGTTAAACGTGTAAAATGAATTTACCCATAATCCTTGTCGGCTTCAGCTTTATAGTTTTTCAGGTGACTAACTTTATTGAAATAATTAAGTGTATATTACGGAACCATATAAATATGTAATTTATATATTGTTATATACAAAGGCTGGCAATAGAGCATCTTAATCTCTTCACAATATTTCAAAATCTTTTAAGTTCATGCCATCCCAATTCCATACATGTCTCTATATTTTTCATCGGCAATGATTCAACTGAGAGGTAAAATAGTTTTTTCCCCATTATTATTCATAGCAATCGGCTCGTGTATTAATTCTGAATTTATAAACAACGGAAAGAGATATATAAGAACAACATATAAAAATTGCGGGTTTTCTTCTATAACCTAGAAGTATCTTGTAAACGTTGGAAAATGTTAAAATTGCAAGATTTTCAATTTTAAATCTTGGAAACGTAATATTTGCAAGTATTCAAAGGACTGCGTACGTGGGACGTGAGAACTGACTTCCTGTAGCCGCATGCATCAATCACAAGTTGTTGGATGGCGTGAACTTTTTTTTTTTACAAAGCCGGCGATATGAATAGAAAAATATGATAGTAGCAATAATTATAGTTCCAGATAGACGGGTGAGGTCAGCGGTGCCCTGACTTAAATTCAGCCCAGAGTTTGTTTCGCGCGACGGTTCGTATAGGAAATCAAATGGATTCGAGTGCAGTGGGAAAAAATATCACGATTGCAGTTTAAAAACAACATTTTCAAATTACTCAAGCCGGAGGCGATTGCAATTTTAAAATCTTGATTTAAGCTCCATAGTGATATCCTTTTCAAACTGCGCGACAACCCATTTGATTTTCTTTTAATAATGTGACCGT